GCTCCATTGTTGATCGCGGGCACGACCATTTAAAAAATGCCACTAACATTTAACAAGTGGTTCAAAAAGAGGCAATAGGGTGAAGGTAGTTCAACAGATCCCTATGGAACACGTCTTAACACTATCGATCCCTACCTTGAAAAAAATATCCTAGGTTGCTACACTGACTTGGTTGATGACAAGTGGTATGGTGTTCTACGTCCCTTGAAAAATAAGCCTATCAACATACACACTGATCTCAAAGTTGTAGGGCATATTATTGAGGGCGACGCGCATTCTACAAAGCCTGAATGTATGCGAATTTGGGACGAAAAACTATAATGGGTTCTCCTATACTCAAAACGGCATGATTACGAAGTACTATGTCACTGGCATGGGCTTGTTGTGCCACAAGCACTGTCTGTAACCTTCCAAACAAACACAGACAAAGATGAACCGCAAGTGATTCGACATTTGATGAAGGAGATTCTAGAGATAGAAAAGGCACTAGCTGCTCATCATGCAATGGATGATCTTAACTTCCTGGGAGGAATGGAGGATCAGTACTGGGATTTGTTAGAAAATGATAAATTGCATAGAGACAATAATTATCCTGTTTTCCCAATAGTTATCGAGTGGGAGGGACTACCTAAGTTTCTACCACAGACGTTGGATGTTGGAGTCACATATTATTGTAGAAATCAAGAAAGTGGTCTTATTGATGATAGCGATGAAATACAAGAAATGTGTGTGAATTGGGGCCTAGATTACGATGCCCTCGGTTCCGATGTGTGCATACACGATGTTGCCGAAGAAGATAAAGACAGTGGCATTGAAATTGTGCCAGACAACGACGATAATGGTGAATGACAATTGTTTTTTTTAAATAGGTTTATGTTAGATTGTTGTACTGAAGTATTAATGCTAAATATCAATAAGACTTAACAGCAATGGAAACATAATTTTATTTCATACATTCTGCAAGATAAACAATTACATACACTTATCACAATAAATTACGGAAACAAAACACTACGTGTATCCTTTTTAATTGGGCACATTAGATGAACTTTCACCGCCACCCAAACCAGCTGAAGGACATTTACGACAGTCGTATCCTGTTTGTGAGCATATGCCACATTTGCGTGCATAAATGGTATCACCAACATCCATTTGGTTCCGTATACGCGTTTGTTTTTTGCACTTGTCGTTGACGTACATACTCCTTGTTACATACCATTTTAAATGGTTCCGGAGGCCAATAATGCTCAGCACCCACTGGCTGCAACTGCCCACTATAAGTGTTTAAGTATGCAGCAACACTATATTCTTTATCCACGTAGTTGGTTGCCCCTAAACCTGTATGTTGAAAGCACTTGATGGAATGTGAGCACGACATGTGGTAGATGGACTATTTCCCACAAGAGCATAACCTTCTGACTTCATTTACAGTGTGTGTATTATCCCCTGATTTTGATGGATAGCGGTGCGAACTTAAAAAATATTTCGCTCTTTGCAATACTATAAATATGAATGCCAATGTGCTCGCCGCCTGTATTTCTCAAATGTTTTCATTGGTTTTGGCATAAATTCAACACCCATTTCCATCAATGACGATGCACCTCTAGCCCTTTCAACAAACCTCTTCGCCATCTGCTTGAATGACATCCGCACCATGGTAGTGACAGGCAATCCACGTGCAGACTTCAATAACCCGTTGAAAGACTCGGATACATTTGTAGTCAGAATTCCCCATCTTCTGCCACCATCCACATGCAAAGTCCACTTGTCAAGTTCATGTCGTATTAACCAACGATAGACTCCCTCGTCTTCCTGCCTGATAGATTCCATGCGCCTCCTGAATTTACACTCTTGGTGATCTGTTGCAGCCATCCACATTAAATCGTGCAAATCCTTATTGGGATATGCCTTCTGGAAATTGGACTTCAGGTGCCTCACACAGTAATGGTGGTAGGCATACGGTTCCTGCTATGCACGCAAATTCTCTATAGAACTTAAAATACCACCATGCCAATAAGATATTATACAAATACCTGAACGTTGTTTGATAACGTGCTCTTTCAAGTGGTTCAAAAATAGTGTCCACGTCTCTTGGCTTTCATTGGTACAAATAGCAAAAGATAAGGGAAATATACTTCCATTAGCATATACTGCAACGACGATCAACAACTTAATATCATACTTTCCCTAGACATGAGTGCCGTCTATGGATATTCCCGACCGACAATGCAGAAAACCATCAATTGCTGGTTTAAATGCCCAGAACACATATTTGAATATATGTTTTAGTATTCCCGGACTCCGCTCAAGCTTCCATTCAACAACAGTCCCGGGGTTAAAGTATTGCAATGCGGCCATGTACCTGGGTAGAGATGCAAAAGACTTATCCCGGTTACCATAAACAATTCAAATGCACATTTGCGCCCGAGAAATGTCTTTCTTTTGGTAATGGTGCACCCATATTTCTGGTGGACAGATGTTATACACTTTTTGATCTTGTACCTTATGGATGTTTCAATGTGTGGAATCAAGACAAGAGAAATCAAGTCAACAATCAAGTTAAAATGATTCCCACTGAATATGTCCATTTCATAATTGTGGGTGGCAATGTATTTACCCACAACCCACATATTTGTTTTCTTCTTCCTCGCACGCAACATCCAATTACAACCCGTAAACCATCTACGGTAGACTACCTTGTATACATCTGGAGATGACTCACGTACCGTGATCTCACGACACTCTTTTACGCTGTACATTAGCACTGCCCTAGTTAGGCGCGCTTTATCGGGAAAAAGCATGCCCTTTGACAACACCGTTACTCTAGATTCATCCCACATTGTTGTCCGAATTTCGTCAATATCCCTTGTGAGGGCATCCACATCCGGCATACTTGGCAAATGATCAAGGTAGGGAATCTTCTTTGAATGAAACGACACGTGGGACTCGTACACTCTTAGTCTAACGGGGGGTGGAGCATGCTCCCTCGTCAAATCAGGTTCAGCATTCTCTTCCTCCTCATCATCACCCTCATCAATGAAGGGTGTGTCATCTCCAGACTTATCGGCATTATTGTCATAATCACTATTCTCTTCCTGACTCTGTGCATCTGCCAGATCCCGGTTAAATATGTCGTCTTCTGGCAATTGAGTAAGGACAGGACCTTCAAGTTGCTTGTTTTTACTGCACAACTAACAAAATAATGAGTTACAAAAATTGATCCAAACTTTACATATAGCTATATCACTTCACTTACAAATGGTAATGTGTTGACATCCCATGATGAATATTATTCTGTTGGTGATGACTCCCGGATGGACCATCATGATCCAACACACCAGAACTAGGCATATTCTAACTAGGCGTTGGTTCATAACTTGTAAAATTCATATTTGGCAGGTACCCCCTGTGAAATATATGAGTGTTAATACAAATTCAATACAGCAAAAATAAACATCATAACACAAAGGAAAATTGAAGTTTACCACTCGTCTTGTGGATTATGTAAACTAGGAGAGAAATTGTTTCCTCGCTCCTCATTCGCCCGTGGAGATAAGTTTAGATCAAGCCAAACTCTTTCAGCCGGAACCTGTTCGGCTAAAACTGTTCCAAAATAACCACCCGATGACTGAGGGATATCCCTTCTTTGCGTAACCTCATTATTGCGAATGTCTTCAACCTTGACGTATATTTCCAACATTTTTATCACAAGAAATTTCCGGTATTCATCCGGAGTCCTCAAAAAATCTCTCAGAGTTTCATCGTCCTCGATGTTAAACTCAGCATAGCAAGCAACCTCTTGCCGAGTGACAGAATACGGATATCTTCCGGTTACTTTAAGGTTCACCGAACGTTTGCTCACACTCATTCTTTTACATAACAATGATACCAATGTATCCTATTCCATTGTAAGTGGAAACTTAACATGACACTATGGAGATAAACTATAGGTTACTGAGTTATTCGCCACCACAACCTCATCCTCCCCCATCCCCCTCCCCAATATAATGAAACCCTTATTCTTCGTTTTTCAGATATTATGACAAAATGCAAAACAAGTTAATGAAGAAATATTTCAGAAGACTTGAGAATATTTATGAATGGATTTTTAGAAAATCCTTAACCTCTTTAAATAAGGCAAAAACCAATCCGGGGTATAAGTTTTTTAGGTATAGCGCTTTAAATAAGGGCGCTATACCCAATTGAATTATTGTTATGTCAGTTAAGCCCAGAAGAATTATTGGTTGGCCCACATAATATATATAGCGTCTTTCAAAAAGGCTTTATATATAGCGTCTTTTAAAAGGGCGCTATACTTAACTGGGCAAACGGCCGTTAAGGTATAGCGCCCTTTAAAAGGGCGTTATATATAAAATTGTCACTAAGTTTTTTTTCCACACATTTTGGTTGTTTGAGTCCAAAAGAACTTTTGGTTCCGAAATCTATATATGGAAGGTAACAACATGTGCGAGTTTTTGGCACGAGCTGTGTATGTATAATTGAAACTTTGGAAATATCCATCTATACTAATTCTAAACCCATTATCATAACCAATTCTGAAACTGCCCCTGCAGCCCCGCTTAGTAATAATTAACAATGGATGATAAAATGAAACTTTCCCCAATCCCCACTTAGCTTGTGATCTTAATTAGTAAAGGGTCCATAGGCAGTTAGGCATCTACAGAAGTTCTACATTTTCTAGGCTGTTTCAAACTCTTCTTAGATAAGACAAGCAACCAAGTTTCTGTTTAGCAAGGTTACAAAGACAAAAAAGAGGAAGTAAGCAACAAAAAGTTGATAATTCCTACGTATACATGGATTATCTAAAGCAAAGATGGTATTTCTAGATAATCCTTATTTTCAACGGCGGATCCAACATCGCATTTGCGGTTTGGCAAGCATAGATAAAGTCGATATATATATATATTTCAAAATCCATCTTCTCAACTAAAAAACTACACACCTAATTCTGGATACGCCAAATAAGGAAAGAACCAAAAAAACACCATACTCTAGTTAGCACTAGCAGCTTGTTTTTTGGGCCTGCAGTAAACTGCAACAAGTTTCTCTGGCTCCATAATGACATTCTTAACAGCTTTCTCTGACAAGAATCTCTCAGCCCATCCTGCCAAGCCTGGTGTTTTGGCTTCATATATTAAATTCACACCCAACATCATCTCCATTGCTCTTATCCACCCTAAAAAGCAGCCCAAAGCAATGTCAATATAACCGATACTGTCTCCACCAAAGAAATCTTTCCCTTTGCTACACTTGACAAATGCTTCCTCTAACAGGCATAGGCCTTCTATGATTTTCTGTAGCACTGCTTTCTTTGCATCCTTTTCTACTGCCTCTCCTACTTCCAAAATCAAAGGGAACCACTGATAACCATGCATTTCTTTTTGTTAGCGTGAAGTAATTTGAATTATAAGAAATAACGCACAACAGAAAAAAGAGACTTACACAGGTAATACTAATTACATAGTTGCTATTACGTTTAATCACGTTAATATGTTTACTTTGGGTGGTGAGTGATGCTAAAACCATCCCTCTATTCATTATTGGTGAGCGAGGCCAAAATCCACTTGTGATTATGACTATGTTGCTCGGGTTCTTCAAAAATGCTGTCTGCGTGTCGGATCTTTCAAAAGTCATGCATTTTTGGAAGATCCAACGCATGCGCAATAACATTTCGGAGAGTTCGAGCTAACATAGATTTTTGGTGCTCGAGAGAAAACCACACAATATTTTTGACCGTGTAAAAACTGTTTCTAGACCAGACTAGGCACACAATTTTTTATTCGAACCAGTATAAAAATATCTCATGTCAATTCTATTCTTTGCTTTACTCTATTTACTTTTGTTCGTAAATTTATTTGTGTTTCAAAAAATCCTTTATTTCGGTAATGTAATGACCCGCCCGATCGTTTTGAGTATTATACCCCCGTTCTCTCATCTACTGCTTATTCTGTGTTCAATTATAATTATTTGACTTGTCGGGGAGGTTTCAGAATGAATTGGAACACTTAGTTCCAAGATTTAAAGCTTAAGTTAAAATAATTGACCGAATGATGAATTATGTGTAAATGACCCCTTAATGGAATTTTGATGGTTCCAGTAGCTCCGTATGGTGATCTCGGACTTAGGAGTGCATCCGGATATTTATTTTGAAGTCCGTAGTTAAATTTGGCATGAAATGGCGAAAAATAGAAAATTGAAAGATTGAAGTTTGACCGGGAGTTGATTTTTTGATATCGGGGCTGGAATCCGATTTTGAAAATTTGAATAGGTATGTTATGTCATTTATGACTTGCGTGCACAATTTGGAGTCAATCAGACTTGATTTGATAGATTTCATTTAAGATTCAATTGGTGTGTGATTCGTATTTTTTGTGTTGTTTGATGTAATTTGAGGCATCGACTAAGTTCGTATGATGTTTTAGGACTTGTTAGTATACTTGGTTGAGGTCCCGAGGGCCTCGGGTGAATTTCGGATGGTTAAGGGAATTTAATTTGGATATTTCTAGAATATTTCGACGTTATTTTTTCAAGAATAATTGATATCATATTAAGCAAATGGGCTCCAAATTCAATTTTGATTGAAGCATTAGATCCATATTGAAATTTCGGAGGCATAACAAAAAGAATCGTCGAATTCGGACATCGTATGAGAGTTATGCCAATTTTCGTGTCCGAAAAGATTTCTCTTCGCCAGCGTCCAGGGTAGCATGGGGCATTAGCCCTGGCGCTGAGAATTTTTTGGGATTCTGGAAACAGAGCCACAGGCAGTACCCCACGCCACTTGTGGTGCTACAAACATTAAGGCTCTATAAACGGAGGGTTTTTGCCATTTTTGACATAAACAAAGTTGGGGAGTTCGGTTTGGACGATTTTCAGAGGCATACTTCACAAATTAGACTGGGATAAGTAATCTTAACTTGATTTGGTCCGTTATTCATGAATCTAACACTATTTTCAGCACCTATTTCATGATTTGGGAGATTCGAATAGAAATTTTCCCAAAATTGATCTGAGGGTTGAAGGCCGAATCGGAGTCGAAATTTAGTAATTTTTGTATGGTTGGACTCGTGGTTGAATGGTCGTTCATATTTTGTAAATTTTGACGGGTTCCGGGACATGGGACCCACTGTTGAATTTTGAGTTGAATTTTGGATTTTATTGTGAAATTTAGCATTTTCATATGGAATTGATTCCTATACGATCGTGTTGACTGTATCGAATTCTTTTTGACTAAGATTCGAGGCGTTCGGAGGCCGAATCGTGAGGAAAAGGCTTATTGGAATAAAGAATTGCACGGTTTGAGGTAAGTAACACTTCTAAACTTGATTTTGAGGATATAAATTCCTGAATTACGTGTTTTGTGAATTGTATGAAGGTGACGCACATGCTAGGTGACGGGCGTACACCATAGAAATTGTTACTTAAATAAATTATGTGGAGTTGTAAAAATTAAAGAATCATGTTATTATCCGCATATCCTCCACGTGTTAGAGAAATTGAGCTGAGGCTCGTATTAAAGATCATGATTAGGCTACGTGCCGATATTTTGGGACCCACAGGGTCGTGTTGCTGTTGAATTAATTGCTTTAAATTATAATTTCATACTCAATCATGTTCATTCCTTTCATATCATATCTCAGTCTCTATTGTTATTTATTGATACATCATATTATCATTTTTGGGCTGATTTTCATGACATTTTGAGCCCAAGAGACTGGAGAGATTGATGACTAAGTGAGGCCGAGGGCCTGATTGTGAGGATAGTTATGGGATCGGGCTGCACGTCG